CTCGTGATATCAGCACACTTGCTAGAATACAATGCTCCACCGAGGTGAAACAGGTGGCTGTGACTTTATTTTGTGTCAAGTCACATCCGCCATGTCGCATTGTTGTTAACCAGACATTTGTGGCACTTTATAGAGAAAACATTTGTCAGGCAAAAACCCGCCACATCTTGGAACAAGGTCGCCGAACACTTCGCTGGAACGGGGTAAAGTCGAGCACCTAACTGGAACCACGAGGAAGTAGTTCAGCAAGCCAGCTTGTACTAGCTATGTGTCCGAGGAACCTTATTCGCCCAAGTAGGTACTGATAATCGTCTTCAGCCTACTCTGTCGTTTCCCCATAAAAATTTGGCAGCCACCCTTGACCTTGCACAACCTTAAGCTTATCTCAAAAGCATGATTATACTATTATTTATCAACCGCATTAAGACTGAACATTACTATCGGCCGTTGCATCTATGTGTCCAATTCTGTTGATCAATTCTGATTCTTGCGTCATGGTGGATCTGGATGACTTGGCCACGTCCCCAACTTGTCAGGTAACGATAAGCTTTATGTACCAAATCAGTTACATTTTCACCATTTTACACTACCAACTACTAACTTGGCACTATCAACAATGTAAAATTTTACAAATGGATAGAGCAAAACAGAAAGGCGGCATCACTCGAGTAAACGGCTTTTCAGAGCAAAGATCGCACAGTCCTGAGCGGAATTCTCGGGATTCGCATTCATTAAACCGAGCGAAGTTTTACTACAAATTTTATTCATGACTGATTTCTGTTGATGTAAAATTCCTTGTCTACAAGCAATAACTCGGGAATTGTGCTCAGTGTCTTAGCCTATATATTCGAAATATGAATTGTGTAGGACGGTCTCACGGACCTTGGAAATCGTTTGAACAAGGCGTCTTCCAGACTGTTCTTGCAAAACTGCTATCTTTACAGTAGTTAAGGTACAAATGATGTTAGGCGAACAAGGCTGTTGCGGGCCCGTCAAATATTCCCGCAAAAACGCGCCAGAAACCCCGACAGAATGGCTGTGGAAAGTTCAAGTTCAATTTGGACAGGAACGGTAGGAGAATTCCCGTGTGTTCCTTCTTCAATGCGTCGTTAAACCAGGATGGAGTTCGCGGGAGCGGTTTGGAGCCGAGAGGAGCCAAATCAATACACACGAATCACATAACGGTCAACCAATCAATGCCCACGCGGCCTGCACTAGCAGTCCCCACTGTACCGGCCACGTGAATAGAATAAAGGTTAAGAGAAGGGAACCAACAAAAACAAAATAATGGTAATTGTAGTACAGGAGAGAATGTGTGGTTAAGACGATAATAGTAATAGATGTGAGGAGCCAAGGAAATAGATGTAAAAGTTAATAACTAAACGGAAAGGTCTGAAACTGTAACCCAAGGACGTCGAGTCGGTGTTCAAACTCCTTCACCGTTGGTGCTAACACTACTTCGCTGGGTAGTGCGTTCCATGAGTCGATGACCCTGCGTGACAACCGAACGTCAGCTCTAACGTGATCAGATCTAGACTTATGCAACTTCAGAGGGTGACCACGAAGAGATGACATCTGAGCCGGCTGGAACAGTCCAGTTAGATCAGGCCCAATCTTGTTGGTCAATATACGGTACGTAAGAATCAGGTCTCCCCGAAGGCGCCTATAGTGCAGCGAAAACATCTGCAACCTGAGCAGCCTATCGGGATACGAGAGATGCCTCAATCCTTGTACCATTTTCGTACCAACCCTCAGAACTCTTTCAAGTGTCATCTTATCGCGTACCAAGCATGGAGGACAGGCCTGCACGCAGTACTCCAAGTATGGCCTGACGAAGGTTGAGAACAATATAACGAACATTTCATTTGTTATAATGCCGAATGATCTGCGGATCATCCACAGCATTCGGAAACCCTTACGGGTAGCATTTGTCCAGTTCTCGCTGGATTTGAAGTCAGAGGATAACGAGATACCCAAGTCAGTTTGTTCAGTCACTTGACGCAATACATTTCCGCCAAGTACGTAAGAAGTTGTGGGAGTGCTTGATCCTATGCGCAGGACCGAACACTTTGCAAGATTGACTGGCAGCTGCCACAATTCTGACCACTCCCAAAGCTTGTCCAGAGCTGTCTGTAAAGCCATGGGCCCAACAGAACCGCTCACTGTATTCCAACATTTTAAGTCATCCGCAAACATAAGGAAAGCGAGGTTCAATTCCTCCCCACAAAGCAGCAGCGCTCAGCCACTCAGAGACGCGGCCCAACCGCGCACCTTTTGACAATGGTCATTTGCAAACTACCACCTCTTCGTGGTGACTGTTTTCCCTAACTTAATGACCCACGGCATTGGCTGTGATTCGCGCTTTGCTGGTCGTAAAAGAGCCTACGGAGGACCGCCTGTCTTTCCTGTTCGCCTTACTTTGGAGTCGGTCGGGTCACGTGATTTTGTGTGAGTCGTTAGCTGGCCAGCCTTTGCGTCTAAGTCACTAGTGCGCGTCCGTTCCGAGGGGTCAGCGTCTACCCGAATACGTGCGGCTAGGATCGTTCTCACGGTCGCTCAATTTCCGTCTCACCAGCGCGTACCCCGGCTAAGCTAACGCCATCAGGTCAACAGTCCGTTCGATTGGTCAACGTTCCAGGCTGTTATCGTAGGCGTGCTCCAACCGTGCCAGCGACAATCTTATCATGCGTTACGCAATCAGAACAGAGGCGGCGTTCCCTCAATTATAACAAAGGCAATGGCCAATTTAAAGGCCCCGCCCACTAGTGGTCCTGATGATATTAATTCTGATACTGATTGAAAATAATGCAGGAGGATCAAACGGACAATCAGGTATCATTAATTTGAAAGCGAGGCAAGATTGCCCATGACTTCGTGACCGCGCAACCAGCGCTGTGATCTTTCTGGGTTCCCTTATATTGCAGGTTAACATCTGCCAACCCAAATCAACCTACTCATAACTTTCCTCCTTCTTTTCCATATAGTCAATTGACAACTTCGAGTTTCTACCAAATAAGAGACGTCATTGGGAAGTTGTACGCGCAGTCATCTGACTGGCAGGTATGCAGAATGCATAAAACAGCCCATATAGGCGATTCAGGTTCAACCGACTCTTCAGTACATCACAATTGAATCCACTACCAGACACCAGATGACTCCTATCAGATATGAGCAGCGTTGGTGGGCATCCCGTAAATCACAATCTTTTAACTGCAATTTATATGAACCAAACAGCGATATTAGCCGTACTACAGCGTTGCATACCGTTCCTACCGTCTTAAGTCACCGAACTACTGCGAAGCCACTCACACCCTAGTAAAGCGTGCGGTGATCTCCACAATGGATAGCTTCGTCACGTAACAGACCCTGTGTCTTTTGTGTTTGTAATTTTAGATGACTTGGCTCGACGGCATTTACGTGTTTTCCCTGTTGGTCGCTCCTGATTTCGACTTTATCCCCATCAAGCTATAATTTTGATGCCTTCGTGGCTTTTTTCATTAATTACTACGCTCAGTGGCTCACTGCTTGATCGTTCATCGGTTTTCGACAACGGTCCAGCGGGCTGTGTGGCAATTACGTCTCGATTTACACGACTTCTTTGCTCTGAACAATCTTGCTACGCTAATGGCTCAGTATTGCTTTTTTCTTTATTTGACAAAAAGGAGTCATTCACTTATTCTACACTTGGAACAACCGCATTACTCCGCGTCATATAAGCCTTTTTAAAGACTTTCTAAGTGGAGCTTACATTTGCAATGGTCACGTGCTGGCCACTATCTGTTAACAATGCTTCACTGTGTTACCTCGAACATATGAGAGGCCTGGCGTCATGAGAGGTTCGTTAGAGACTACCGCTCATCTGAGCTCCATCGGATGTAAATGTGCTAATGGCATCGTCCTAATATATAGCCCCAGTGATCAGTGATTCTGCGCAAATCCATCTAGGATCAGACGAACTACTGACTTGATCAAACTCCCTATCCTTCCTTAACCCTTCCAAATGTTGTGATGTAACATTCTCTTTTCTTCGCCCCAACAGCTTGCGTTCCCTTTTACATAACTCCCTTTGATCATGAGTGATCAAAGCATCCATCGTCCATCCACCAGAAGTATGTCGGTCTATTCTCTTCTTACCATTTATTTTGGTCAGCACATATTCTTGACGCCTTTCAAGCAATCCGAATTTTTTACTCTGTCAGGCTTACAATACTGTCCATGGCCCGTTCCCCAATTCCAAATTTGGTCACAGCGTGTATGCTATTTTCCCCGGACTTATTTCAAAGTATCGTACTCTTTCTATGCGCTCACTAACATTTGTTTCCCGATGCTCTAGCTTTAACAGGTAATCCTTCGTTGTTGTCATCGTTAGCAAGCATTTTCACGCAATGCTTCAATTTTTCATCCAGGATTCTGTACGACCCGTCTCAGTTCCTTCATTCTGTTCTGGCCAGTACGGTACGGTATATAATACTTCCACGCAGTTGGAATTTCGAGCTTTATTTTTCCTTACCTCTTCTTATCGCAACTCCACCTTGCTCTATCTGTTTCGCTTGTCAGTCGACCAAAAAGAGCAACCATACAGTAGTTGCTAGACCTTTGAGTAAAAATGCACTTTTTATTCTCCTTGTCACTTTGTATTTTTTCATTGGTTCCAGGTTGCAATGCATCCGCATTATTAGTAAAAATTGCTAAGAATGCTTCCCTATGAGGGTATAAAGCTTACCTTGAATTGACTTAACTATTTCAGGTTTTTTAACTTTTTGCCATGAGCACTAATTCAGTGCCTTAGGAGGAAGTTAAACACTTTCATTTCTAATTAGTATTATAAGTGCTAAACGGAAACCGTTTCACACTTAGTAAAGCTAACTGTGCTCTACCTCGCAGCTTGCTTTTCTTCATCTTCCGTTAACCACTCGTACTTGCTCATCCCGTGTCTACGCTCTTCATGAGGTTATGTCACTACAGTTTGTTGTCCCTTCGAACTTTTACTCATCCTGCAGTTCTGTGAACTTTCGGTTGGTTTGGTACAAAACTGCCCGCTCCAGACCACGCTTCGCCAAAAACTGGCTTGCTTCTCTTCGTCAACATCGACCCGATTTGGCGGCAGTTGCCGATAATGTTGATCTTTGTCAACGTCCAGACGGCCTTCCGATCTCCTCTTCATCGTCATCTTCGTCCTCCTCTTCTACAAGCAGTTCTTGCGAGTGTTCCTCTTGTTGTTCCGAGTGTTCACGTAACTCGCGGTCTCGGAAGCGATCCAGCGAACTCCAAACCAATTCCTTTTCAAAGCGAAAGTGGGTTATGTTTGCCTGTTCTTACTTACCACTTTACGGTTAAGAATTGTCTAAGGAGCGCAGTGCTTCATTGACAAACCGATTTTCTATGTACATCTAATGTGCGCTCGTGTGGTACACAGTAAATAAAAAATAAGTCGGCAGCTTTATGCCGTTACACCGCGACCACTACCAGTCACGCGTATGCTGAGTATACTGCGAAGACACCCACACCTACGCAGATTCGAACCGGCGACCTTATAATTGCAAGCCAGGCGCGCAGATCACACAGCCAACACAGTATCTGCCATCACTGAACTTTACTTGACACATACATTCAGCTTCATCATGTGACTTACTCAGGCTGAGATTTGTTTGACCACGACCCATGCACAGGCGCTGTGGCTTTCATTAACTTTTAACCGATCTATCTCTAGCAGCTGCATTCATCCCGTTTTGGCTCCTTTTTCATTGTTTGCCAGTGGAACTGTAATAGACTGTGTGGTACTCTCTTTCGACACAAATATATGTCAAAAAGCTTTAAAGGTCCGGTTTCTCGTTTCTGCCTTCATTCCATGCTTCACTCTAGTGGAGCATTACGTTCCAGCCATGCGATGCTATAACTGTAGAGAAAATTGGGTTCCTGTTTGGAACACGTTCAAACGAAATGCGTATTAACTGAATAATTGGTCACCGGCTCCAAGTGGGCGCGATTCCTTGGATTGGCTCCGGTGCCTTGCGGGTAGGCCTTTCGGCGAAAAGCTCGGGGTGATATACCCTAGGGGAACTCCCTACATCGAGTTGGGCAGCTGGATAGTATCTCTCCCGCTGGCAGAACCATTGATCTCGCAACTATTACTACTGTGTCATCCTCATCAAAACACTTTAGCCGTGGGTGAGAAACACACCTCAGCTAATGTGCTGCAATACAAGAGATAAGAGAGCAAATAATACAGATTACAAAATTTAACGAAGTAACATAGTGTTAGATATCATATCACGCAATGGTTATGAGATCGTTGTTGGAGAGGAAAGCTAATGGTGAGGGGAGGGACAAAGATTCACAGCACAACCCCAATGAGGTCGGCTCCTCGCCATGTCAGCTACTGTATCCAACCAAACGTGTACATCCTCCTTCGAACCCAAACCCGGCAATCAAGTGACACCAGCGGATGCCAACTTCGAAGTAAGGGTTTTCATTTCTTTTGACGAAATCATTGCTTGGCCTCCCCTCTCTTCCTCCCAGACCCCGGTCGCGCAAACAACGCACGTCGCAGGAGTCGGTGTGCTGGCTTGCGCAACACATTGTTTAGCCATCGGAGCATGCTGTGTTATATAATGGTGCTGAGCGGTTCACTCGCTCTTCCTTCACCAAATACCCGACGCCGAACACACTCATTGCTCCTGCAGTGCTCTCACCAGACATGAGCTAAGCTGCGAAGCAAACGATAGTCTAACGTCTAGCCTTTTTACGTCTGCTGATCTAATGGGCCAGGTCTCACAACCGTACAAGATGGTTAAACGCACGGCTGCATAGTAAACTGTGCCGTTCAGAACGAGATTGCTGCCACGCCGACGCCACAGGTGGTGGAGATCGGCAAAAGCGCCTGCAACGTTTGCTATACGGCTTGTGATCTCATCTTCGATCCCACGGGCTTTAATATGGCTGTCCAGATATTTGAATTTTTGAACGACTTCTAGCTGATCGATTGTCAGCACAAAAATGAGTCCCTGCAAATTTTGGAAAAAGAGCTTTCCATTTTGAGGGTGTGAAGCATAGGTCGAAACAACTGACAGCCAGTGCAACTTCGGACGTTCGGGCACTGCACTACTATTACTATTACTAACTACTACGACGATGACTACTAATATCACCACGCAGTACACGTGTCATGCGCACTTCACGCATTTCACGCTGACGTACGATGACATATTCGAGCAGGTGGGCGTGACCACTTCGTGGGTGCGCCCAAGTTTCTATATCCCTCGCAGCCAGTGCAAACCGAGTGTTCGTGATCGTCAGGCCGTGAGTGGCATACAGGGACAGCGGGTCACCATTCGCATTCGCTGAACCAATGCCATGCGGACCGGTGACATCTGTCCACACCGATGCATCACGCCCAACGAGCACGTTGAAATCACCTAGCAGAAATAGTCGGTCGTTCCTCGGCACAGACCGTATCACGGAGGATAACTGAGTGTAGAATTGATCACGCGTGTCATCAGAATAACACATGGTCGAACCGCACATCCTTATAAATGTGGCATATTTACCTCTTCCGAGTCATAGGCGAACAGTCATCAGTCGCGCGTTGATGCCTGTTGGTTCACCCACCGGCTGGCCGTGGAGGCGATCGAATATTGCAAATCCGACCCTATGTTCACATGGTGCGGAGGTGGCGTTTTTCACCCAGCAGAACGTACAGTCAAACCCAGCTTCATGCAATTTACCTAGCGCAGCGATCCGGGTTTTCCCTGAGTGCCGCAATATCGATGTTATAGCGCACCAGTTCCATCGCGACTAGTACAGTGCGTCGTTCGGGGTACTCACTGGAGTTCCGGTCCAGTAGTGTGCGCACGTTCCAGCACCCGATGTTGAGTGCTTTGCTCGCTGGCATACGATTGCATTGGCGGGCAACGGTATGAGAGATGACGTCCTAAATTGGAGGAAATAGTGGGTTGTTTGTTACAGGGACGGGGAGTGGATGTGCAGGGGAAGAAGGAAGAAGGAAAACGCTAGCAGTAGCATGTTTTCGCTTATCCACCCCGCTGTTTGCAGTAGATAAGCCGACCCTTTTCCTAAGGCCACTCCGCGACGGCCGATGCAGCATGGATTTATTATTATTGGCGTAACTCATAGTTGGGGTTGGACTAGGATACTGTCAGGGCGCCCACACCTTACAGGAGAACAACTCGGTTACAACAGCCAAAACCTTCAATAAAGTATATGCTGCAAGAGCAGCGTGCCGAGCGCCATGAGTCAGTGAACGGACTCACGCGGAATGATGTCATGGATCTTAGCTAGAAGAATGGTGTAATCCAACCCCACGCAGCGGTAGCCACGAGGGGACGTCGGGGACATGCCCACAGCACAACATTAGCAGCAGCGAGTCGACGATCTGTCAGGATCTCGCCACCACAATCTTAGCCCACCATGGGCTCCCCCGCGATATATATATATATATATATATATATAGCGACTTATATGATTATGTTGAATTACATGTTTGGCTGCATCGACTGGACCACATTACTGCTTGGCACTCATAGTTAAGTATCCCTAATGACAGGCACTGTCTCTATCCTCACAACAGTTTTCGTCCAGTTCTCATCGGCACTGTCCTCCATAGGATTGACCTGCTGTTTTTGCTCAGCATGCGTTCGGTTTCTTTGATTGCGCAAACTACCTTCTTCTTGGTATGACGAACATCCCTAACTTTGACATCGTGTTTTTCCGGTATCGGTGAATCGCGACAGCTCGTGCATCACGACTAATCAACTGCCTTGCAGCACGTTTCTTGTAGTTTACTCAAGGCGCTCTTAGGTGATATTGTCGCATGCATCTTGTCCACCACCGAATTAAGTGGAAAATGCAGCCGACGCAGTCTAGTCAAGCTTGGGTCTGTTTTTGTTCTTTTTGCTGCTTTTGAATCTATTTATTTCGGAAACGACTGGTATTCCAACGTAGTCGGAACTAACAACGCGGCCCTCACCAATTGTACTACTGGATTGAGTGGCACGGCCTTTTCGAACTACCTCCTATACAGCTAGACGAACATTAATCACACGACACCCGAATGTAGGAGAGCGAATGCAAGACAGGCTTTCGGTAAAAACTTTCACGACTCACTAAAAGGTGTGCACAAGGTTACGCACTCTCAATTATATGCTGTGGCTGGTAACATGTTCATTTTTTATATAGCACGCAGAGTCGAAGGCTAGGGAAGCGAGAGCGTAGCGGAGTATGTGAGTTCCCATAAGTGCGAGTATTTGCGTCGAGCGTGAGTAAGCGGAGGCGTGTAGCTTACTTAGGCTTTCATGCATTCGCCACCGCACGATGATGTTTTAGTTTCTTGTTTATATGACATTAAATCGCTTGTGTCCATTTCCCACCAATATACTTTAGGGTCTGTTACACTCGTTTTACTCATCCTGAAGTTGAATAGTTACTATCCTATCATTTAACATTCATTTCTTCATTCGAAGAAGGTAAAATTATCGGATCACTTGGTTGGACATTATGTCAAATTGTCACTTTATCCAGTTATTGTAGTTATTGGAATGAGTCATGTAATTGCAATGGTTTTCAGTCCCCCTTCCGTTGAATAGTGTGACACTAATGGTATTGGTTATACTTTTTCACAAATTACCCTTGTTCTTATCTGCAGCCGCCGGTTATCTCCTCTCTCCAAGTCGCCTTCTCCGAAACGCATGCGATAGACAACTCCTGTGCTTCCACAGACAAGAAATCTTCAACATCCATCTATTGCCTTTTTAAACAAATTCACTTTGATGTCGAATTTGTGACGTTATAATATATGACCTTTATTTGCATGAGTATTTTTTTTATAAGGACTACGTCTTCTCCATGCCGCAGCTAGTGGTGGCGTTACGACCCCATGTACGATTACTAACCTGCTTTATGTCCATTTTGAAGTTTCCTAAAACGACTGAGTCCGATAGGATATTTATCTGGGAAACGCAACCGTCTCTATTTTTTCGAGTATTCGACATAAATGAATTTCTCCAGCCTCCATGATACTACCACTTGACTATTGGGGTGTCGAGAAAGATGGTCTCGAGGAAAAACGATTAGAATTAATCGGATTACAAGGTTGTGCGACTAACTGCGAGCATACCGCTGACTCCGCGACTGGGCTGTCGGATATGATCTCGAACTATTGATTTCATCGATCGTGTGACCACCCAGACATCTTCCACGTGCTAGTCTCACTCAGCATCGGTCAATATCCCCTTTTTTTAATGTCGTTTTATTTGCTCATCTGTACAACGTCGTCAAC